ATTGGTGAGGTGTCCCTCTAAAAGCAGTGGCAAACCATCCACCAACATCACGGCTTACACCGTTGCGGAAAGGTATTACAATCTGCATTTGAGCTGACGATCTACGGTATTTGCATCGACCTAAAGCATCGGTGCATTTACCACAATCGAGTCATTCGTGTTTAGATCCCTGAGACTTTCTATGACGGGCGGCATCAGCCTTCAACTATTCAGACAAAATCGCTATGCCTAATTTTTCTACTGACAGCGCTCTAGTGTGGCCGCGGACCTATCCGCTTCAAACGGTGGAACCACTGGCCTCTGAAGACGACGATTGAGTCGAAACGTTAGGCCATTTTAATAAATGTTCCACCTAACAACCTCGTAAGGCACAAGAATATTGAAACACTCACTACTAACATGCCGAGGTTGCAAGAAGAGAGAAGCTGGAGAATATTCCCAAGAATGTAAATTAGCTGAGAAGTTGTTGTTGAAAGTGAAGTAGCTGCGAAGAGTAGAAACTATTAGGTTGGTGCATAAGTTCTTAGCCACGACTTTTTCGTAAATATCTCAATAGCGAACCAACCTGAAGATTAGAGGTATGCACCATCACCATGAACTACTCGCCAGCGCTCAGGCAGCTTGTCGATTCCATCCTCCCAGAACGACGGGGGCTGGGATTCGAAGAAGGCCACAATGCCGCACAATCACCACTGTGACATGGTTTTGCACTGGTAATTGTGCGGCATTGTAGCCTGCAAATGCAGGGTGGGTGAGTGATAGCTAGTGAAAGAGTATCATGTACACGTCACGCACACGTGATGACGAAATACCAACCTCCATGCAAACGAAATACGGAAGGATCAAAACAGGGGGCGGAGAACTTATGCACCAACCTAATACTTAACTACTCTACATTCTTGAGAACTTACTCAGACATTCCCAATCCCGTATAGAGAAACAAATAAACCTAAACGTGGCTTGTTTTTCTTGTCAATTTTAGACTGAAAAACGAGTTCAATTTAGAATTACACTGAAATCCACACTAACCTATGGGTAAGCAATTGCTACTCTTGTTACAATAATTGCTAGTTTTACTGTTGTTTATGGATTTTCACGTTCGTTGTTGTTCTTTAAGATTTCAGATTGCCAGCAGACAAGACTTTACTGCTTGATTTGCTTACTGCCACTTCTTTTTCCCTTTCGGAAGATCCATCTACTCTTTTTTCAGAGCCTGCAGAGTACAAATGAGTAATATGTCATTTTTGATTGTGGATATATGCATTTTGTTACTTCAAATCGCCACGTTTACATTCAATGGATTTATTCTCTTCATGTTCCTCAGGTATGTACATCCACATATAACCAAGCGAGAATAAAGAAAATGGGGGTAATTCTCTTCATTCAGGGCGAAGAAACTATGGAAGAACCCGTCTTTTCGACTTATGCTTTTCCTCGCATGCACGGATTTTCTTCATGCACTAACAAGTGAGCTTTAGAGGTAGCGATCAATACTATGATGTTAGGGGAAAACTAGTCCACAAAAAATTTTCAAGCGCAATTCGGCGACAGGAAAGGGGCATTTTTTTACCTCCGCTGCCTCACTAGCTCCGGATTACAAGTCTCTTTGAGATGACAGTTATGAATACATCTGGAGCTGGAGTAAGCTCGTTGAGCCACATGGTGAATGGTATTCGTATGGTATCTCTATTCAGGGCACATCATCGTTGGGGTTTCTCCAAAGGGGGGGAGGGGGATCTTATTTGGTATTTGGTTTTTCTGAGAGTTTTTTGGGAGTGAATTTTTCTTTTTCACTGAAGCTATAAGAGCATGGGAGTCCGTATTCGCTCGTTGTTGGGAGGTGCGGGGGGGGAGGTGTGAATATTTGCCTTGTTAGAGAAATTTGCGGCGTCGCGAGAATTTTTTCAATGTTGTTGACTTTTCGTGGTTTTTCCTGTTTTTACATTGTAAATACCTATATAAATATCCCCCCACCACTACTCGACAGCAAAGTTTTGAGGAAAAAGTAACATTTTTTCTGGGTACCGGAAATCCTGGAAATAGGGAGAAGAAGGGGGATGAAAAAATCCTTGAAAGAGGTCTCGACAGCTCATTCTCACCAATCTTACCAGAGGAATTAACTAAAAGAGGTGGGGTCATATGGACTCAACGGAAATCCCCAGAAATGATGTGTCCTGATTTCATTGCTCTACAAGGGCTGGCAAGTGATCCTTACAAACTTTGACTGGTATCATTCCGTGGATTCTCCACTTGATAACTCGATAGGAAGTAGTGAAAGTGCCGAATGCCTCCTTCTACCCGTCCAAATTTGTTCGAGACCACCTCGTGCTTCAATACTTTTATTTAGCTCTTCCGTACATCACATATTTAACGAGAAACTGGAACCCTTTATTTATAGACCTAGACCCATACTATGTTATGATTTCCAGTATACCCCTAACCATTCAGTTGAAAATCTATTTGACATTGACTATATCTATAGCGTTTGAGCGGACTTTGGTGAGGATAAACACAATAGCTCTTATGTTCACTACATAATTTTCAAAAACAGTTTTAAGGCTCTTTTTTTCCCTATGACCTACAGAACGCTGCCATCTTCTAAATATGCTTTATGCTCTCTGCTAATTGGCTGCCTGCTGGCCGTAATAGATCTTATCTTGGAATTCCTCCTCTCGCCTTTCCAAAAGTCACCAAATTGTGCCGCGATTGGATGTTTCATCAGTGCGAAGTTTCGCTATTACTGGGGAACAAGTAACATGGTGAGTGGAAACGCATATCTCTTCATCGAAGCTCCATACCAAAAGGGGTCACCTTGTTCAGGTCATGGGCTTATTCGTTATTGTATTGACAACCCTAGTTATCATTAAACTTCGACTTATCGAAAAGAAATCACACTCGCAACAAATAGTTGCTAACAAAGACTCAAAAAGATTTGGACAGGTATGCAGAAATTATGAATGCTTTGATTATTTCATTGTTATCGATTTTCAGGCTAATCGTACATCCGCAGGAATTCTTCTGACCTCTTTGGTCTTTGTTACGATCCCAAGTGTTTGCGTGGGCTTCGTTGAAATGATCGGTTATTCGTTTTTCAAGACAGTCGGTCCATTTTATATTGTGGGCTTGCTTTGTGCTGGTAAGTTGTTTCTACTGATTCATTACTTCTGGCAGAATCCCACACAACTCCATCTAGGGTTCTGTAACAGCATCGTGTACGTCGTCCTCAACCGTGATATGAGGGATCTTGTGAAGGAGTTGCATTTTCCATATACCAGCCACAACAACGGGAATGTCTTTGACTTCCACGAAAATTTTTTCCACAGTTAAACTTCGGTCCAAGGAGAATCGCTGAATTAATGCCTGCCATGTATATGTAATTTTCGTGGTTACCATTTGCTGCCGTATGAATAAAGCTTTCAAACAATTTTGCTTGAAGCACGCTTATTTGATTTCTCTAGCTTTTACGTTTATCTTGTTCACCGCATGGAGCCTTTCCATTAACGGCTCATTAACGCATCAGCAATTGGGATTTCTTCACTATCGGCTATCGCGCATGTTAAATTACAAGGAGCGGTTAATGGAAGAAAAACTTAAATGGAGAAAAACTTAGGAGGCAGTTATGAATGCTTCACCCCACCTTAGATAGCGCTTGGAAAAATGGGCAGTCCGAGAAGCATGTGCGGCAAGGTAAAGATCAGTGCCACTTGTTATTTTGTAGTTTTTCTGGTGCTGCTGAGGTTGAACAGAAGGGCCTAATAAAGTGGCTGACTAGATTGGAGGTGAAAAGGGCAATCAGTGGCCTTTCAGCTTTCGTCTTTGCCTAGGTGCACGACTGAAAACAGACAGAAAACTAAGTCCAATGGACAGCATCGAGATGTGTGAAATGGTGGGTCAGTATGACCCCTGTTATGTTAAGATATTGCGCAGCTTTTCTATTAGGTTGTCCGGAAGGTTCTCAGCGTTTTGTGTTACTATTTTTTGTACATTCATTGCTGATTAAAAACTCATTCTCCCTTGCGTCTCAGTAGTACATCCTGAAGAGAATTTTTTGCGCTATCTGATGGTATAATTGCCGTTTCACCATTGCTTGATAAACCCCCTTTTCCCAAGACTTTTTGAAGCATGTCAAAAGAGCAACTTCGGATATTTTTCTTCAACTACAAATTGGGTCAATCCGCAGTCGAGACAGCTCGACAAATTAACCAGGTGTGGGGGCCCAATAGTGTTGGAGAAAGCACCGTGCGACAATGGTTCGACAAATTTCGTTCTGGAGATTTCAGCCTTGAAGATGAACCTCGTAGCGGTCGACCTAAAGCAATACCTGACGAGGATTTGAAGGCGTTTGTGGAGGCTGACCCATCCCAAACAGTTCGAGAGATTGCAGAAAAGCTAGGCGTTGGCAAATCCACTGTTGCGGATGGTCTGAAACGCATTGGGAAGGTGAAAAAACTCGACAAGTGTGACCGGCAGAAATTGGCACGTCTCGAGGTTTCTTCTTCACTGCTTTTGCACAGAAACGACCCGTTTTTGGACCGAATTGTCACCTGTGATGAAAAGTGGATCATGTATGATAACAGGAGACGTTCCGGACAGTGGTTGGATGCCGACGAACCACCGAGGCAATTTCCAAAGCCGAATCCTCACGAAAAAAGATTATGGTCACAGTGTGGTGGTCATCGGCTGGTGTGATCCACTATAACTTTTTGTCACCAGGCCAAACCATCACAGCAGAGTCCTACTGTGAAGAAATCGATGTACCGAAAATTGCGTCAGCTGCAGCCAGCACTTGTCAACAGAAAGGGTCCGATTCTTTTGCATGACAACGCCCGCCCACGTTTCACAAATCACTATCCATAAATTGAACGAATTGGGGGTTGAAGTTCTACCTCACCCGCCATATTCTCCAGACCTTTCACCAACCGACTATCACCTTTTCAAACATTTTCAGAACTTCCTTGCTGGAAAATACTTCATCAATCAGGACCAGGCAAAAAAGCCTTCGTGGATTCTCGACCACCCAGTTTTTTCTTTGATGGGATTTATCGACTGTGTCACATTGGCAAAAGTGTGCTGATTCGAACGGTGCTTATTTCGATTAAATCCGATGAGTATTAAGAAAGTTATGATCGTTCAAAGTGAAACACTCAAATGCTGAGAACTTTCCGGGCAACCTTATTTTTGTTACTCGGGAGGCTAGAAGTGGTACTGTTGCACCATGAAATTCCAAGGTGAAACGTTCATTTAGCTACTTATCCAGTAATGAATGAGACCCTATCCATTTTTCTCATCCACTTCCACGACTATGACAAGCTATCCAGCTCACTTGGTTTTGCGGCCGCTGTTCCATATTTTGGAGAGGTTTCCGACGAGCTTACTGTTTATGTGTAGGCTGCGTTGCCCAACTAGTAAGCCCATGCACAAGCGGTCAACTGAATGGCAGGCGAGGCTGCTTTCTACGAAGGCATACAACCGATCTACTCCAAGAAAGCTCTCGATCTGAGCGCGACGCTGTTAGGCGAAGTCCTCAGCACACGGCAGCTGTTCGGCAGAGTGCTTTCGCGCAGGTAGGGCGGCAGTCCTGTGACATCCTCACGGACACTTGGAGATGATGAAGAAACCCGCAGCTTTGGTTCTACACCTTGAGACGGCACCAGCGCAAGCCGCGATCGGCCTTTGCCGTGCTCCTGTTTCCTTTCCATAACCACTGTTTTCTCCCTTTCATAGACACTTCACCATTTTTTTCCAAAGATGAAATGCAAGTACATATGCCAATCCTTCTTTAGTTGGCAATGACTTAATCACAACGGACTAGGATTGCCGACGGCTGGAATCAACTCTTTGTAATCGTCTTTTTCAAGGGCATCTGTTCCACCAAACGTTATACCATAAGTCAACTAGTGGAAGTCTACAGACATACTCCTTATCAGCCCTGTAGCACTGGCCCAATCGACTAGCGCTTATTTCCCTCTCTGAAGCTGTAGCTCACCCTCTTAAGAAGAAACTCTACCATTGTCGACAAGGTCGAAGAAGTGACATCCAACCTTTCTCTTCTCAGAAGCTTCTGAAGACCTGAGAGGGAATTACTACTTTGCATGGATTTTATGTTGTAGGCGTGGTAGTAGATGCTGTACTGGCTTAATAAGCAAACAACGCGACAACTCCAAAACAGAAAAATCAAAAGCAGTCGGCGTATTCCGCAAATTATGAAACAGCTTGATAGGCTTCTTGCCAAAATTGGAAACTTTACTGGCGTGTTTTCCACTAATAATTGACATCCAGCCCTTACACTGCGCACTTTATTGGAAGTTGCTATCGTAGTACACTTCTGTACCCCACCTTTCCTTTCAGCTATCTTAAGGCCAGTCTCGCATCATACATGTTCACAGTAGAAAAAATTCGTATCCTCTAAATTATCCTCTTCTGCTCCTATGAGTTTCTACCGTGTTCGTTGACAGAAACAAGCCTGAGAACACTTGAAATTTTTGCTGGAAAGTCGGGAAGCAAAAACCATTTCTCTCATAGAACTTGTTTTGCAAATACCATGCCTTGCAAAAAAGAATGCTGCAAAAAGTGATTAAAACTGTGAGCGTGGAATTGTTGACCGGGGTTATCATGAAGTCGCTGAGTTGCTGACATGGAGGAATAGCTGACGAAACGTTCCCGAAACTTTATTGCCTTCATGGTGTAGTTGCACATACGATGGAGCAGATGGCAACACGAACTCAGCACGTCGCGGCGATGGAGGTAGGCATCCTGTTCGCCGGACCCCACGGAGTAGGTTTCAGGTTTTCTCGATTTTTTTAGCCATACTCCTTTTCTTGTAAGGGACTGTATCTATCGTCGCGCTAGACTTCCTGTAATGGTACCTCGTCTCTCGTCTTTCACCGGCAGTGGTTCGAAGTGTTCGTCGGATGCTGGAGCCTTATTCAGGCCCTGCCAGTTTGATTAACATCCACGAGTTCATATTCGGATTCCTCTTCTCAATAAGTGCAAGCGCGGAACGTGTTATCTAGAGTACTGCTCATGTAGACAAAAACCTACTGCCCACATTTCATTATTAAAAAAGCTCTACAACTCACGTTACAAATACATTTGCAAAACGTGTCACAGTGCTGCGAAAAATAATAATATAACAATAATAGTATACCTAGTATCTAGGACTCCTGCGAGAGGCCACTCGGCGAACCATGGTTCCACGGGTGGCTCCCACTCTCCAGAGTTCACTCGATTGCTCTCAAGCTTGCGCTACGTTTTCGGCTTCTTTTTGGGGCCTATTTGGAATGCGCAGTTGGTGTTCTGATTGATGACATGCGGTGATCATAATATTAGGTACCGTTCAGACTTCGCGATGAAGCGCGTCCACACGCTACCATCTTCAGTGCTAATGAACGCAGCCGCAGAAAGGGATCAATCGGCGCCGGCCGCTTAGTGCTTTGGGAGTGCGTCTGAACGCTGCTTTATGGACCGAAGCGGCAAGCGGCGAAACCAGTGCCAGCACTGCACTGTGGAGTCACTCATCGGCTACTGGTTCATAACTGAACACTCACCAACCATGGTACAAGTTGCCGAAATCGTCTTCAATGGCGGCTGAGCTCACGCTAAAGAAGTTCCCTTTGGGCTCACGTTTCTGTTGCGTCTGTGTCCCGAGCTCCTGTATGGGCTACGCAAAACGCAAAACTGAAAAACATCTGAAAGTCACGAGCAACCACTCTCATCTTTTGGGTCCTCCACGTATGACAGACCTTTCTTTTTTTCGGGCATCACTCTCA